AAATAACATGATATATAAATATCAAACAAAATTTAAATTATAAATATATTGAAATTTAATACAATTATACAACGAAATAGCAACCATTGTGAAGTACGCATAAGATTCAACATGACATTCAACATAACATTCGATATACTATAGTACAGTGCAAATAAACTCATTTCAATCACTCAAACGTCAAAATGATAAATAATAATAATTTTCAATCTATTAGGGAGCATTCATTTTTTAGCTGGGGGGGTAAGCCGGAGGAATTTGGGGGTGGGTCAGCCAATTTTGACATGCTTCAAAGGGGTGGGTCTTTTGATAGTTTTGGTATAAATGGAGGGGGTCATAAAAATAATCAGTGAAAAATCACCAATATAATTTTATAGAATTTGGAAATATTTGGATCAAGAATGGTAAAAAGGTCTAGAATCTATCAACTATCTCGTCATCTTTAACACAGAAGCCACTAGAAATTCGTTTGATGCTCTGTTCACCAGTCCGTAGGAAAACATTTCCTTGACCTTGTTTTTATCCGTTTTTGTGTGAAAGCATGAAAATGCAGCTGGGCCGTAGCAACGGGGGGGGGGCTGGGGGAATTTGCTAATAATCATTCTTTTTTTCCAAATAATGCAGACCTTTATCAATTTTAAGCTTTATTAATTTTAAGCAGCACATTATCCATGACAAACTGCAAAGAATGAAGATATTACCCACAGTTTCCTGCAACTTATCCTAGTTATCCAATATGCCTTCGCCCATTTAGTACTACCAAATTGTAAATTTCGACATACTAAAACGCTATTTTCTGACCGTCAGAATTCTGTCAAAATCTTTCCCAAAGTCCAGGAAATGGCATTTCAGAGACTCTAGATTTAAAAATTTCCTCGGGCCTTCGGCCCTCGCTTTCAGCCCCCAATCATAAAGAGCTTCCTACAGCCCTGAAACACTACGGAAATGACACTGTGTGGATTAATAATAGTTAGGATGAAGGGTCAAAAAATGTTTGAGTAAAAAAAATGGGGGTCATAATTTTTTATCAACTTTTCTCTCGGGGGTTCCAAGTTTTAGCATGGAATTAGACTTCAGTTCCTCCGCCCCCCCCCCCCAGCTAAAAAATGAATGCTCCTTATATATTTTTGTTGTAAATAGGTATTAGGAATTAGGATTTTATATAAATATTATTGTTAGTTTAATTTTCTGTTTTCAAAAAAATTCTGCATGCATGTTTATTATGTAAAGGACAGTCTTTTGTAAAACGATAATTTTTCTCTATGTAATACGAATTGTAATATTTATTGTTTTCTTTCAATATTTTTTTAATATTGTAAATAGTTAAAATACCAGGTTTATATATTCAATTCATGCATTATTCGTTAGTTATATTTATTATTATTATTATATGCAATTAATTATGCATATGGATAGCAATGAACAAGTTAATTTCAATAATTTTCTTTTCATGAGATACAAAATCTTGGCCTTTTTATGAACAATTATTTGAAAATGTTCATAACTTGTAATTTCTACATATACGCAAATTATTCCCGCGCGCTAGCTAGCAGCTACCCTGGTTGCAGAAGCTCTTTGCAAGGTGAAAGAAACAAGGAAGAGCCTCAGTCTGGTCACATCGGTTGCAAATCCTTCCACACTTGACTAGGTTCAGAATTTGAATCTCGCTTGTGTACATACATAATTGTAACGGAAGAGTGCCTCGTATGGGTCTTATAGAGTATAACGGCATATACGATATTGGAATACTTTTAACATTTTTTCATTTTAAAAAACGTTCGCGAAAAGACAAGAGCTATCGGTCCACCAGACAAGGGCCCATTCAAAGTATGCGTTTTCTTTTCTTCAATTTGATCATGCAGGGCTTGAATGTAGTTTCATCAGGAGCGTAGGAAGCTTGTGAAGACAAAAAGGACCAATCCCCTCCAATGTCAAACAGGGAAGGAGGGATATGTTTCGCTCTTCAATTTAATATACCAGATAGTTTGTTTATACATGAAAGTTAAAGCATGCAAGAGTAACGTAACCTTCGGATAACCGTACGGATTAGTTTTGAAAAACATTCCGATGAAAAGATGAGTGTTGGAAAATTTTAAAGGAAGTTGTATAATCATGTATAGACCTTAAGTTGACGAACCCGTTTAATGTTCTGTAAGAAAGCATTCTAAGAAATATTCTTTAGAAATGGTTTCCCGAAAGTTTGACGTCTGATAATGGACCTCAATTCATTTCCACAAAATTTAAAGCTCATATGGATTATCAAGGAATTCAACACCGAAGAGTTACTGCAAAGTAGCCTTAAAATTTTCCATAAGCGGGTGAAGAAAAACCCTAGATTAACTATTGACGATAGCACACCTTACACATATATTCCAGAATAGACCTTACAGAAACCCAAGTCAGCTAAAAAAGCGGTACTACTGCATGCCATGCCATGATTCGCAATGATGATCGAGGAAGGAATTCACCCCCTTGAACGTCGGCCATTTATATTTTAGATGACGAAATAGACGATCTTTGCAATGATGCAAGTCGTTTGTTTGTGATGGAGTTGGGGAGGGATGTTAATATATATAAATATTGTCTTTACTTTGGCAGTGATATTTAAATTTTCAATAAGCAGGAGGCGAAAGACACAAACGATCCCGAGATAATGGCCAGGGCCATATTCAATGAGAAACGATATGACAGGATGTCTGGCTCATTCATTCTGCGTAGAAGAGTAATTCTTGTATTTCTTGAAAAATCTGGCAAGTAGCCAAGCATCGTTGCTCGGAAACCACGAAGATAAGGAGGTAAAGCGATGGAATGTTTTCATTTTAATTCAATAGAAATATCAACTTATCTTGGAAGTATATTTTTGTTTAGGAACAGCAGCTAGGCCTATATGAAAGTGAAACAAAGCAACCAAAAGAAACTCAAAAGAATAAAGATAAGGAGATTATCATTAGACTTTCGAAGAGCGACCTGTACAATTTGAACGGATTTTGTTGCAACTAATAAAAAGCTAAATCGGCAAAAAAAGCCAGACGAATATGAAACTGCATATGTTATAAACCTGAATGAACATTTCATATTTCAAGTATATAAGGTTGAATTTTACCTTAAATTGAAGATTATAGAGTATGAAATAACATATACGTACTTTAAATTTTAGAAATTGATGCTTCTATAGTTAAAAGTGTTAAAGTTTATTTTTTTCCGTTTTGCACAAAAAAATAAAAAATTGTAAAAGATGCATTCATTAGGAAAAGCGAGATGTTGCAGGCATGCATGTATTTCTAGTATATCATTACAATTAATCCATATTCAAAAACAAAAAGCAACATGCTGGCACAATGTTATAGGGTTTTCATGGACGAAAATTTCAAACAAAAGCCTTAGAAACAATTCGGCGTAACTGGTAAACCGAAATGAGATGCTGACGTAAAATTGCAAGCAACTGAATTTTGAAATGAAACACTACATCTGAAATTGACCACGTACTTAGCAGTTTACAAATACACAAACACATACACACACCATGACACACATATATATATAAATATATATATGTAAACAGAAATGAAGAATAACTAAAAACTTGCCCAAGGGAACATGGATATCTGTCTTTAATGCGTCTTGCTTTATCACCCATTGACGATGACATCGATGTTGGAGTATATAGCTTGTGACGTTGACTATACTCCGTTGTTGATAAAACCGGTCAGTTGTAGTCAGTTTATCTGGTGAAATCAGAAGAATTGCAATCAGAGTGGTCATCTTTGGAGCCAGGTCGTAAGCATTGATGGAACGTAATCTGGAAATAACGAAGAGACTTGTATTAAATTGACCAGATACTTTTCCTTTCATTTTCACTTAAAGACGGACATAGCTAATTCGCTTTACTTTAGTAGTTCACAATATATTTTGTGCGCCTTTTTTATGTTGCGAACTCAGTCTCAGGTGAATATGTTTGTGACGCTATCCCGAGTGTATGTCCACACCGGGCAGGCTGAAAAGTTTACCTGACCACGGTGGGAATCGAACCTGTGACCTTTGGAATACTAACTAGTCCAATCGTGGAGTCTGCCAACTGAACTACAAGGTCAAGTCGGTTCGAGAAATAAAACAGAAAAGTATATTAGGGCCTGTTCATATGATCCCGCTTACCGGAACGTCTCGCTTACCGATGATCTCGCCGCCTATCTATTTTCCTATAAAATTTTGCATTGTGTTCATATGAGAAAGCGAGCTGGCCCGCTTGCCGAGATCTCGTTTGAATTTGCCGAGATCATAGGTAGGCGGGATGAAAATTTTTCCATATGAACACGCCAGCCCGCTTACCGGGATGAAGTCAAACAGTCTTGCCGGTTTAATTTAACACTTTTTACTTGGTTTTATGTTTGTTTTGTAAACAAGTATTAAATATGCACCTGAAGCAATACTTTTTCTTGTAAATAAACGAAGAAAAACACTAAAATCGCTAAGTATTTGTATTGCTTGACTGAAATGTAGAAGTTTTGCATATGCTAATTATAGAACTACAATGTAATTTCATCTCGGCAAGCGGGACGAAATATTCCATATGAACGCACGGAAATATTCGTCTCGGTAAGCGAGACGTCCCGGTAACAGATACGCCAGCCTCGTACCCAGGCGCAAATAACGTACTAAAAAAACAGCAACACTACAGTTTTTTTATATAGATCAGTGGCTGAGCGAGCGCGCGGGGGTGCTTGGGGAGGACTTGGGAAGCGAGGCGCCTGGCAGAATTTGCATACAACATGGCGGACGATTTATTATTCATAAATGCAAATGAGGAAATTGCTCAGATTCTTTCTGAATTTGAAAGACCGATTCACAGAAATGTATGCATGGGAAAGGTTTTATGTCCAAATGAGGAGTGTATTAGTAGAAGGGATTTTTTTCTTGAAAATGGTATTTGTCATCATCTCCGAATAAGGCATAAGCAAGAATTTACAAGTGAAGCAAGAGACGAATCCATTCGTATTTGCAAGATGTTACACGAACAAGAAACACGGGAATGCATGGATAAGATATTTGACTATCGTAGAATAAAGGTATGTACCTCTATCTGTATACATTGTTTCATACTCTCTTCGTTTTATTAATATATTGAAATTATAAAGTATATCATACGCCGTTAATATTTATAAATATTTCCAAATTTATTTTTAATAATATATTTATATAGAAAGAAAGTTACAAAGATGTAACCGTAACTGCTTGTGGACGCAACATGGAGTGCACTGTACCAAACGAGCGTGAAGCTGTGCAATTTATTTGCCTGCTATTGTACTATGGTGGAGCCCTTAATTCCTACAGCAAAGGAAATAAATCGTGTGATGTTGTGGTTAAAAGCTCTGGGTTACAAGCAAAATTCCATTGCTGGTACATTAAAAAACAAAATGATGGTGGTGTGTCTTTTCAGATAGAATCATTTTTTGTTAAACGAGTAAGTCGACTTTGTTACAAATTATATCATTATTAACAGTAGAATGTGGGAAGTTGTCACATAATTTGTCAATATGTCTTGGACTTTTACATTTGTGCCACCCATACAGTGGCGGACACTAGGGGCAGCCCCCCCCAAATAATTTTGAAAGACTGTAAAAATGTTGTACCAAATAACACAAATCACACTCATATAACGTAATCTGAAAAAATTTTCTGAAAACTCTATTCAGGGGAGATAATAGAGTTTCAAAACTTTACAATTGCTCCAATAAATCAGTGAATGCAAGCGAGGAGCGATTAGTTTCAGAGTATTTTTTCTATTTGAGTGTACCCCTACGTTTATTTTGTATCATCAACACTCTGCACGCTGGAGTGGACTATTTAATTATTTTTTATTATGCCGAATTTTTTTTTGGGGGGGTTGAAACTTTTTTTGGAGGGGTGGACATTTTGTTTGGGGGGAGGGTTATAGCTAATATTGGAGGGGGGGTTAGCAACCCCCTGCACCCTGCACAAAATCCATCTATGCATTTTTATAAGACCAATGAGACTAAAACTAATTTTTATTGAATATCAGAGATCATAATTAGCCAATTAAATGCCCATAATTAAATTAAATTAAAAAAATATTATTTGGTTAGTAATTTATTTTTCTCTTATAGGACCATAGATCACATATGCCTAGTACACCAATTGCAAATATTGTGTCGTTAAGTGATGTGATGACAACAGAAAATAATATTCCACAGCCATCTGGCGACGTCCACCTTGACATACTTCGAAACATTTTCCAGCATGAAAACTTTCGTGGTATACAAAGGAGAGTGATAGATGTAGTTACAACAAATAAAGATGCCTTAGCAGTTATACCAACAGGGGGAGGTAAATCAATGTGTTATTGGATTCCAGGTCTGTCAAGCACAGGCATTACTGTTGTAATTACACCTTTGATGGCACTAATAAATGATCAGGTTTCAAAATTACGAAGCTATGGGATAAATGTCTGTTGTGTCAACTCAAGTATGACCCCTGAGGAACGGGACATTATATTTCATGAACTAACCGACAAAGAATCACCTTACAAATTTTTTTACTTGACACCAGAGTTTGCCATGTCTCCACCCGCTACAGCATGTTTTCAAGCAATGTCAGAAAACAAAACATTATTGCGGTTTGTAATTGACGAAGCACACTGTGTTGACACATGGGGACAAAGTTTTAGACCATCATATGCTCAGCTTAGTACACTTAAGCAGTTTAACCGACCCACTGTGGCGTTTACAGGAACTGCAACAAACCAAACAAAGCAGAGAATTGTGGAGAAACTAGGCTTGGTTCAACCTGTCATTCTTCAATCAACCTGTAACAGGGGCAATTTGGTTTTCAGAGTAATCAACAAAAGTGGTCCACATGCCAAAGAAGATGTAGTCAAGCATGTTCAAGAAAACTTTTTAAATGTTTGTGGTATTGTGTACTGTTTTAGTACCAAAGACACTGTTGAGTTGGCCTACATATTTAAATCCAAAGGTGTTTCATGTGTATATTACCATGGTCAACTTGATTACTTTGAGAGAACTGACAATGCTCGAGCTTGGTTATCAGGAAAGGCACAGGTAATATGTGCTACAAGTGCGTTCGGAATGGGCATAGATAAACCTGATGTCCGTTTTGTGATCCACCTTAGCTTACCTAGGTCTCTTGAAGAATACTATCAAGAAGCTGGGAGAGCTGGTCGTGATGGAAACACCTCTTATTGTATTCTCATGTTTCGGTTTGAGGACAGAAATAAACTGATCCAGCTAATTTACAAATCAACATCTGAAGATCACATGGAATTCCAGACACATTCATTGAACAGAGTTGTGTCTTATTGTATGTCATCAATATGCCGAAGAAAGCTCATCCTAGAATACTTTGATGATGGATTTGATATAAACTGTAATGGATCATGTGACAATTGTCTTACAACACCACCATTACCCAAGGATTACACCATGGAAACCATCAACACATGTATTTGTCTTGAAGAAATGTTGGCAGTTCATGCCAAGATTAATGTTAAGCAGCTTGCTCTCACTTTCAAAGGCTCAAAGTCAAAGCGTGATATAGAAGCAAAAGGATTTCACCTAATTCCCCATTATGGCATTGGAAAAAATGCTTTTAAAAATGACGCGGACTCAATTAAATTTGTGCAACACCTTATCATCAATGAAGTTTTAATGGAAAATATCCGTGCAGTGGACGACAGATTTACAACAACATTTATTACACTTGGGAAAAAAGCAAACTTGGTAAGGAACAGAGAAATACAAATGTTCTTAAGGCTATAAGACCAAATAAAAATATGTGGGTTTCAGGTTTCCTGATTATACCTATTATACTATACAGTACCTATCATTTGGACATGAAATCCCAACCCTTAAGTAACTTTTTATTTAAACTGCAGAGCTTCCCCATTGACGAGTGAAATCGTCTGGTGTTAGACAAGTAAAAGAAGTAGGGCGCATTGCGGCTGAATGGGTTAACTAGAGACATTGTCAGATTTTTTTGGTTAACCCATTAAGCTGCAGAGCTTTCCCATTGACAAGTAAAATCTCCTGGCGTTAGACAAGTAAAAAAAAAGTAAGGCGCACTGCAGCTCAATGGGTTAAAAAGGGTACAAATATGGCAGCTGACCTTTTGATCAATGAAGAAAGTTTAGAAAAAAAGATTAAACCGACTTACCCCACCTAGTTTAAAGAGAAATAGAAACCCACAATCTTTTTTGGCCTGGCCCTAGTTGTTATTTGTTAGTACCCAGTATTTCCTAGGCTTAGTGAACCAGCCTCATACCTCAGTGAATAGAATACATGGTTTGGAAACTAGATTGAAGTACAATAGAAATTATTAATCATCATTGTTCCTATTATCATACTTTCTGACTTATGAATAGACATCATATGTTCAGGGTTCGAATTAGTATGTGGTTCTAATCAAACTGTCAAATTTAATTATTTGAATACTTTATTTGCAATCATTGATATTTAAACCTAACACATAACATTGATCAGTCATGTGTTTGTCTGTCATGGTGGCTAAAATTTTACACCTCCCTCTGCAAACATGCTGCTAGTGTGCATGCAAACACACTATAAATTATAAGACAACAGATTGGCTTTGTTTAAATCTACACACGTAAATATAGATGGGTGTTCATTAACAGTCCTAAGTCTGATTTTTTTGCACATCGTTTGGAAAAGTGATGTTGAAATTGCACATTGCACTGTTAATTCAAACCCTGCATATGCTTACTAGATATATCATGATACTGAATTGTAAATATTGTTTATTATTCACTGTCCGTCGCTTGTAAATTTTCTAGAGATAGTTTTCTGTAAGATGGAAAACTCTCATGAAGTTTTGATTTAAATTTGTCTTTCACTTTTTTTTCACCCTTCTTAACAACTCCCATGCAAACCTGTGAAACTGGTTTTCTCGGCACAGTTGCGCTCTTTAAAGGATGCTCCATAGCCACTTTACCAGAAGACACTGTGAAAAAGTTGTTAGCAAGGCAAAACCACATCCCCTTAACCACATCTGGCAATGAACTCTGTTCTTTGTGCTTCGTTGTTTGGTGATAGTTGAAAGGTTCAGTAAATGAACGTCTTACAGATCCAAGCACATCAAGGTTTCCCATCAATCGTTGGCACATTTGAACTGAGGTGTGACCTTAATTAACAAAAAAATGTAACATCTATTACTAATAATAATATGTGCTTTGCCTTTATTAAACGATTGAATTAGGATTCTTGGTAAGCTGATGAACATTTGCCAACTGATTATTGATCGGGCATCTAGAGACAAAATAAAGCGACACAAACAAACGACGATGCTTCGATATCATCTTGAATATAGCTTAATTAATGCTATTTTGAAAATTAAAAAAACTAACAATAACATAATCATCGTTCGAGCGTAAATATGTTATCAAGATGATACCGAAGCGTCGTCGCGTTAATTTTTTATTGAACCGTAATTATACCTGTTGTATAGTTTTTGAGAGGCCTTACAATATATGTTTCCACATATTCATCAAGATCTACGTTATGACCACGTTTGCCACCAAGATTAACTGACATATTATTCTTCACCATGCGCCGGAAAGCCAGCGGCCATAGGGATGTGAAATTCACCACGTGCACAAATGCTTCAGTCCAATAGTTTCGGAAGTTCAATTGTGCAAAAATAGGCAGCAGTAGAACCCAAGCAGTCTCACGGAGGGTTCCATCTCCTTCTTTACCCGCAGTTAAGAACAAGTCCAACAACGGACCAAACAAAGAAAACAGTTGTTGGTGATAGCTGTGACTGTCATCACTTTCAGCGCATTTTTTCAACCATTTCTTGAAACTATTAAGTAGAATTGTATTGTGATTTCCATTCTTTCGCAAGGCTCCAGTTAAATCCTCATCTGATGGAAATTCGTCTGATGCCTTAAACTCTTCAACTGCTGCAAAACCGTAGGCACAACTTGCATCTCTTACGGATTCCTGGATATGGTTGAGGTTTTGCTCTTGAAACTTTCTTTTCTTAAACGCTTCTTCAGTAAGTTTTGGTCTTTTCATGACATAGTTGACTACTTTATGAAACCCGCCCTTCCCGTGTGCTTTGAACGTTGCTTCGCATAAATGACCCTTTGCGTGCATATCTCCGGGTATTTCAGTCATCCAACTATATGCTGTGCTGTTCCTGTGCTTTACACCACGATTTATTTTACATGTTCCGACATCGCCCACAATTGCTGTTGGAAAACCTTTGCAATCTGATCTTTTGTACTCGTACTTATCATCACTCTCAGTTGGGGGATTGCTGTCATCATCCATACCTTCGATTGGGTTTTGGGACGACTTATTGTTGCCAAAACTGCTGTCAAATCTTTGAAGTGCTTCTACTATTGGGCTGTCATTTGCTCGGGAATATGATTGAAACAGTTCTACAATATCTGCCAATTCCATTGCAGTTGCTATTTCTAGTGGACTTGGAAATGAGCCAAAAAGTGCTCCTTCGAACTCCGCAAAATTTTCCAACAAAATTTTGCTTGCGTCAAGGTCAGCATTAAGTACAGCAATGGTCATAGGTGTAGCTCCACATCCTTCTTTTGCGTTAGGGTTGACTCCAACCGCAAGTAGAAGCTTTACTAGGACATAGTTCTTCGTTTCAACTGCACAATGGAATATCGTTCTTCCGTACTGATCTCTTGTCTTATCAATTAGTTCAATGTCGTTCGAAAGTTTCTGGATTACGTTGTCCAATGCGTCATCATTGATTGAGTGACTGGAGTCTTGAGCCATGTTTGAAATTCTCTCATACAAAGCTTTGAACCTTGCATCTTTTGGCTGCTGAACGGCCTTCTTAGTCACAGATCCTGAAGATCTTGTTCCATCATCATCACCAGAATCGGTATCAGATTCAGTGTCATTAACATCATACGTAGATGCATCTATCTGTTTTTCATACGATCGCAGTTGTTTCTCCATTTCTTGCATTTCGGTGTTATGCACGTCAACTGACCTCATGAATTCATACTGCAATCGGGCAGACTTTAGATCATATTTCTTTTCTAATTTATCGAAGGGAATTTCATAATGATGAGGACAAGGAATGGAAAATTCTTTACCAAACTGTTCAAGAATGGCAGCAGTACCTGTAAGGGTTGAATTGTCCTCCAACGACAACGGAAGGTTAACAACATCCGTCTTTTTACTTTGATTATTTAAGCAACGTTCTTGCTTCGAAGGAAGACTGATCTTGAACTTTTTAACGCTTTCTCTTTTGTGTTTACCAAAGTCAACTTTGGAAAGCCACGAATTCAAATCTACCTCACTCATTTCCAGAAAAGGCTTTGGAGGTTTCGGTATACCATTCAAACTACCATCAAGAAGCTCCAAATAATAACCATCGAGCCAGTCATCCCATAATTTTTTATGTTCGGGCATGGAATCTTTATAAAAAAAAACCAACACAAAAACAGATTGACCATGAATTTGTGTGACCGAGAAACAGATAAATAAAACGACTCCAATACGTAGAGTAGCATGTGCATTACAGGTAAACTACGTGAAGCGTTCCTCTTTTTGACTTGCAACTCATTTGGAATTTTTCTCATTAGCTTTGCAAATTTGAAGAACTCTTTGCAATCCCTTGAGGGAATTTGCAATGTTCCTATCGGCTGTTGCAATATTCCAATGCAAACAAACTTCATTTTAAATTTCCCTAACTTCCTGTTTTAATTTCCTAACTTCCTGTTCTGTTCTGAGCGTTGTTATTGGTCGATTATTTTCGTTAGTCAATTGCAACGCGCGGAACAGAATAGGAAGTTAGGAACTTGTAACAGGAAGTTAAGAACTTCTAACAGGGACTGAGGAAAATTTAATTAGCTTTTAGCAACATTGCAAATCCCCACAAGGGTAAATTGCAAAAACCAATACCAGCCGACAATTTCAAAAAATATAGTACAAAACATAATCCGACCATGTATATATTGTAACTATAGTTAGTCTGATGATGACTTTGTAATAAAATCGAAATATTATTCACTTTCTTGTTTGACTCATATTTTGGGTTTTAAGATGCTTATCTTCGGATTATGTTTTGTACTATATGTAAATTGCAAAGGTAATGAGGAAAATTGCAATCAATTTGGAAACTCGAAAGAGGAACGCTTCACGTAGTTTACCTGTAACAACCCACCAATATTTTCCTTATTACAATTATAGTCATTGTTTGCAAATAGCTGCCTTTACATGTATATCTACTATTGTGAAGCAATTACCTAAAAAGAGATCTTCAGCTTTTACTTGTGAAATATCCGTTTGTGGCATTGTGGCAGTTTCCTTACACGTCATTAGCTCTTCAATTTCGCTTATGTCAGGGATAATTGCTCCTCTTACGGTAAAATTCCACATCTTTGGCCCCAAAGATTTGAAAAGTCTTAGATGGCGTTTCCTTCCGCGATAAATATTTACATTGTCCATCAACAAAATGACTGGTGTCGTTTCAGGGCACTTGTCTTTAATAACCTTTGACAATTTTTCTTGGCGTTGATCAAGATAATTATTTCTAAAAAGGAAAATTATTTTATTTGTGCTATACTGTACAGTATGTGGAAAAAAATATGGGGTGAGTATCTACTGTACAGGAAATGCATGTATTGTGAATAGAAACTGGTATCCAAACCATTAGAAGATATTCTGAAATTCACTCTGCGGTCACTGGAATACTGGGGCCGGTTGTATGGAAACTGGATAGTGATTTTTTTAATCTTTCTAATTACGGCCGTTTTAGTAGAATCCAGATTAAATCTTAGTATTTATAAGTTAATTTCTTCTTTCCTTACTTGTGGTTTCAAATCAGTAGTTTTATAGCCATTTCAAAGCAATTTTATGGTGGTTAAACATTTGACTATCCGGTGAATAGTGCTATCCGGCCTCCGCACAATCGGTCATGGTCAATTAATCAAAGTGGTACTATCATTACAATTTTTATAACTGTATAGTAACTTCTTTTGAAAATTTTTGTTCCCACGCTTAGTTCTTGCGATATTTCATTTTTTTGTAACCATGTGACGTCATTTATCATTTACATATATAATGAGATATCAGTAACTGTTGTGTATCGTTGCTATTTTTATCAAAATCTTTCGAAAGATGCGGCGCATTTGTTAATATTTGATCTACATCATTAAGCATACTGTTTTTTTTAACAAATCCGTCAAAAATAGCAAAGATACACAACATTTACTGATCGACGTCACGTGGTTTCAAACAAAATGAAATATCTCAACAACAAACCATGGGAACCAATTTTTTTCAAAAGTTACTTTACAGTTTTAGGAGTTCTTTCGTTTGAGACAATAAAAATGTTAATGACAGTTCCACTTTAAAATTTAGCTTGCTAAACACTTAATCTCTATAGTTCTCAACCAACCTCGTACCCAGGGCTATGTGTGCGATGATATAGAATTTTGTAGTGTATAAATACACTTTGGCCTGTCCTAGGCCAGGAAATTAGGGCCCATCATAATATGTGGCATGGACTAGGCCTGGCCAGGCCTTATGGCAGTGTAAACAATTTGGTCCAAGCCAGGTTCGTTCAATCAAATAAACAGAAACGAATACCCAAAGGACTGTGGAAAAATATTGAATGACCAGCAAGGGGTTTGTTTTCACAGCCTGGGAACATAAAATTAATAGATGGTCATAATGAAATGTGCAAGTACATTGACAAGGAAAAACATACATACATTGTATCCCAATGTGGCGTCAATCCAATAGAATTTAAAAGATTGATAAACTGTTTACCAGCTCCATATGTGACACAAACAAGACCAAGGAGCAGTCGAACATCATTTTTGCATTTTTGATTTCTAACACTTAGTAACAGAGATAATGCATTAACGCCGCATGTCAGTTTATACTCTGAAGTTTTGTAAACTCTTTGCCTTTTATCTGTTACTAAAAGTGTCTGTAAAACACTATGCAAGAGTGGACACTTTTCTTCAAAATTGCTAAGCAAATTGTTGAAGATCTCTTTCTTGAATACGTCTTGTACATCACTTTCTTCTCTCATTCCCAAGGAGCACATTTTTTCCATTTCCTTAATTTCTTTTTCAATTTGCTCCTTCTGTGAAGATGAAATTTTTTCTGCATCACTTCCATCCAACTTTCTAAGTTTACTTTCGTATATTGTGATCAATGCAGAGTTTAATTTTAAATACTGTTCTAAGTTCCCCTGATACGTCTTTGCAAGTTCTCTAGCAAATTCTGTGTTGTCACTATCTAGTGCTGAAACAACCCCAGCTGCTTCTTCAACCAAAGAGTTTTCCTTGATGTTGATTTCATTTTGCAGCACCAAAATTTCATTGCTATCCACAGCAAGCAAGCGCTTACGAACAACAGGACTTCTGCCATGTGTATTTTTAACAGAGAGATTGGTATAAACAACTCTTTATTAAATGTTAAGGAAAGTGTAAAGTTAATGTTAGTTGTAAAACTTACACTAATACTTATATTATACTGTACCAGGACTGTACACAGCGTGGGGGGACGCCTCCCCCCACAGAGAGAACTATATTTAGAATGACATTATTTAATTATTCTCTGGGTATTCGGCATATAGGCCTTACTCACCCCCTGGTGAAAAAATCCTGTTTTAACGGCCCTGTACTGTACCAAACAAAATAATGTGTCTGTTGTTGGTCTAATGTATCTATGCATGCCCAACAAGAAAAATACTAAATTTTAATTTGGCAAGTCATGCAACCAGTGGCAAATGAGAGATGCATGCAGACATATATCAATTCAAATGGTAGCCAATAAAAGTCATTGTAAATTGGATGTATTGTTTCACCTTAAAAAAAGGATACATTGTTTCATATTCAATCATCATTGTTTTCTTATTTGAATTTGGAAAAAGTCCTTTAATTGACCGTGTTAGAATGCTCTTGTCATCATCAGATAAATCAAGTAAGGCCATCAACAGTGACTGTTTCACATATACATCTGACTCTTCATGATATTCCACAATATGTTCCAATTCGGTAAACAATCTGTGTCTTCTTTCATTGCATTGGACACTTGATAAATTATATGCTAAAATACAGTATTATGCATTATAGAGTAATTGAACAAGATTGTAATGATATTTCATATACATAGTCTCATGGAAATGTATTGTATCACGTAATATTTTCCATATATGTTGCAATGTGTACATTATTTGTCTTGAAACTGTAGCCATGCAAACGCCTGTACAAAATTGCTTCCAGATGATTCGTGTGATGCCAAAATACCACTGACATGATACATCCGGATGGTTGAAGGAGACACAGATCACCCACTGAGGTTAATTTAAATTGACTATCAACTCAATTTAGTAAATGGCAATTAATGTTTTAGTACTATATGTACATGTATAAATTAGAATATCCAATAATTGCAACCTTTAGAAAAGATTTTTTTGGACATGAATCAGCTGAATAGCCTGTGTCATAAACAGCACCCGAGTTTATTGAAAAATTTGATAGAGGGAAGGGGTTATTAAATTGAATGCAATGTTACAATTCACTTGCTTACATGCAAACCTCTTGGGTTTGGATTCAGCGGCAGCTTTGGACTCAGGAGTCAAAGGATGTTTCCCTGGCCTCTTTTTCACTGGTGTACTAGTAGCATCAGGTTCTAGAAATTTTTCAAAGTTTTAACACAATCCATAAACTTAAAAAAAATTATGGATACTATGTTCCAGGATCGCTGACCCCCCCAAAGCCCCCTTAATGGCCAAGCAATCAGCAATGTCATTTTCGCACCAAAAAGGTTAGTTCCCTTATACCCCAACACATATATATTTAACAATGATAGCCGAAGGTGAGCTTATTATCGAGGAATATTTGCCTATACGAATGCGAGGTGAATATTCCACAAAAATCACCAAGCCTGAGGCGAATAATTGTTTTAGTATTTTTACACATTAGTCTTTTGTGACTGAATTTATTTTAATTTCGCTTATTTCTTTATCAGTAAAGTTACTGATAGCTGCCGTTTTGCAAATTTTGGTTTTGTTATATTCACCTTTATGTGAATATGACAGCTTGAGACGTCAAATTTGACCAATCAACTTGTAGGATTTGTTATATTCACTTGTGCAAAAATATATATCTCACAATATACAACCTTGGACATATTAAACCCTTCAGACCATTAATGGAACTATTGTATAGGAGATTTATACTGATCAAACAATCTTTGTTGCAATTCCATGGATGGGTATTATATTATATGAATTATATTTGATGGGTTGAAGACTGCATATTAATTAATATAGTAATAAAAGAGTCTTAAATGAGCTTATGAGCCTAGTATAAGCCTTTATACATGCTGTAATTAACATGGAAACATGTAATTCTCAAACAGGGTGACATTTTATACATATATTTTAATGTCTATAGGAATTATATTAGCTTATAAAGGAAATATATTCAACGGGGAGAATGATAAATATCCAAAGTTCACCAGAGCTCTGGCAGCTGACTGCCTGACTCACCTTGAAATAGTTCCACATGTGATACATCAAATTCATCATCAGAACTTGAAGATGCTATTCAAAGAATAATTTTATTACCAGAATAATACGATAATGGCTGACAGACGAGTTCGATTTAGTAAATTCACAAAACATATTGAGCAATAAATTCATGAAAAACACAAACTTAGACTTTAATACTGTATATTAATCCTAACACCACATTTTACTACTACAAATTTATAAAAATTATGCAACCAAATTCTATAAAAAATTACCGTCAAATGATAATTCCTTCAGCGATTGTTCCAGATCATCCATAATAAGCACATATAAATGTATTATTATATTCAGCACCAAAAACGCCAAAAAAGTATTCAAAACGTACGAGAAAAAGCTGAATGGTTCTATTCTTCAGATATCGTATTTCTGAAGAATCATATTTACATTTTCTGCCAGGCGCAGCAGAATCCCGTCGTGTGTTGACCTAGCACCCCCGCGCGCTCGCTCTCTTAGCCACTGATCTATGTAAAAACACTGTAGTGTTGCTAATTTTTAGTACGTTATTTGCGCCTGGGTACGAGGCTGCGGCAGACGGTATTTCCTTTGACTCCTTAATTTCGCTGCCCGTAGAAATACCGCCTGCCACGCAGGCTACTAGTTTTGCGGCAGACGGTATTTCCTTTGCTTCCCTAATTTTCGCTGCCCGTAGAAATACCGCCTGCCATGCAGGCTAAGCATCTTTTGGATGCTCATCCTACGGCCTACAACTCTTCACCAGACCTCACTCGGTTTTTGGCGGCCATATTGGAACTTTTTGAAATATTGTGCAAAACTATTTGGAAAAGAATTGCATTTTCAGTGTAGTTTTTATGAAACTTTAAAAGTTTTAAGACATGTTTATGCTATTTAGCCAGTGCATAATCTGTTAAATAAGTTTATTTATAAATATTTCGGCAAAAATGCTGCTATTTTGTCCAACTTGTTCAAATGTGTTGTCGGTTGAAGAAGCCACAGGGAAAACGCTCTACAGATTTGCTTGTCCGACATGCCCATATGT